TATTAGGGTGTCCCATAAGTTCTTTCCTTTTTTCTGATGCGAAGTGATTACACGATATTTGTTGTTTAAGGTTGATTTATCGAGTTACATATGAACCGTTCTGCTCTATTACCTTCTTCCATCTTTCAGGAAGACTCGTTACGCCGTCTTTCCAAGATTGTTGAGGCTTATTTGCAAAATATTGTACAAGAAGCGTTTTTATTTCGCTTACGAATTTAAACCGTTTTTCACGGAGGGTATTTTTTAACGAGAAGAACAAGGGACGGAACAATGTCTGGGGAGTACGGAGGATGAGGTAGAACGTTCCAATCGAACTGCAATAATTTTTGTCTTACGACCGACGCAACACGCGGTTTTGCGTTGTCGCTATGAAAATACGAGGCCGCGTCGGTTCACCAATTCTGGCCGTTTTTCTGCTATGGCGGCTTTCAATTCATCGAATTGATTACAATATTTAGCCGAATCGATCGTTTCACCTTGAGGAAGGAGCTCGTAGTAGACTACATCTTTCCAGTCCCACCAAATGCACGAAAGAACTTTCTTCGGACGAAGTCCTGGCTTCGCAACAATTGAGAGACTATTTCCTTTCGACCAAGTTCGTTTTCGATGCACATTTCGGTATAAAATCCAAGTCTCGTCTCCAGTGGCAAGCCTCTTTAGGAAAGGATTTCTGCCATGTCGTTGGAGAAGCAAATCGCACGTAGAGACATGGTTCATAAGGCTGGTGTCAACGCTTACCGATGGTGTGGAACTTCGAATCGATTCACGTATCTCATCTTGATTAAATGCTTATGTACCGTTGTCCTGGGTATGTCAGTGGCATCCGCTACCTCGCACACACTGTATCACGGATTTTCAGCGAGCATATCTTTGACAAGGTCCGCGTCCGTCGTTGTTGGACGGCCGCTGCGGTATTCGTCTTTGAAATCAAAATTGCCAGCTCTAAATCTCTTAAACCAATTGCGGACTGTCCTAATAGTCGTAGAACCGTCACCGTAAACGGTACAAATCTCGTTTGCAGTGTCCTTTGCCATATCACTTTTTTTAAAGCAATAAAGCGTAACATGCCGCAAATGCTTCTTTTGGCTATCCATATCGAACGGCGCAGAAAAAATTTAATAAGGAACTTTGTCAGCAACGAAACATACTCTAAAAGAGCTCTGAGATCACTGAAACCGATACCCTAAACAGTCAAGAGGTAAGCCAGTTAGAGTTATTCATAGCGCGCCGCGGAAAGAACTTATGGGACACCTTAATAGTTTCGCTTATCCTTTGTAATCCTTGTAATTCCCGAACAACGCAGTTTCAAAGCAGAGCAAAGCAATACTGTGGAGTTGTAAAGATTTTATATTTATTCGTTAATCGGTGATTACATTCTGTGACATGTAGTTCGTTTGCGTCATGACAACGATTGTTCGTTGCCGCGAATTAGGGGCGCGGTTGGTGTGCGGCTCTTAGAGCACTCTAACCGCTCCCAAGCCGTTCAGTGCCAAGCCATTGAGTCCTAGCGGAGCTAGAGCCGGTCCGGCTGCGAGTGCGGTTGTCAGTCCAGGTGCGAGGAGAGTAGGCGCAGCAAGGGCGGCCGTGGCTACAGGACCTAAACCCGTAGATCGTCGTAGATCGTCGTGGATCGCCGTGGATCGCCGTAGATCGCCGTAGATCGTAGGTTGTAGTAAAAAAGGGTGGAGAAAAGAAGAATCGATTAATTCACCGCGATATACAATATGTACATGTACAAGTGCGTAGATAACCAACTGCGTGTGCGATGCGATATAAAAGTCGAGTATCGAAGCGTGATGAAAAAGTGAGCGAGCAAAGATAATATCGATATGAAAAATTATAAGGAATAGGAAGTAAACGATGAAAAGGATAAGGGAAGGGAAGGGAAGAAAAGATGGGAACGAGGAGAGAAGAAGCTGGTCGAAGGGCATTGCGAATAACGGATCCGCGATGAAACGAGAAAGGTTCCGATGCAGGAAGATAAAGGAAGCGTGCCAGCAAGCGTTTGCCATGCGCCAAGCTCGACGAGATAATATTGTCAGGACGATAATATTTTTTCTCTTCGATATCGTGAATAAATCGAACGCTGGACCGATAACGACGAACCGATAGTTTTTGGGGAAAAATCAAAGAAAAGAAATAGCAATATAAATAAGAAAAAACTGACGGGGCACCCTTCGATCAGGTACCTGCGAGAGCAGTATTTGCGAGCGTGAGTACAGGCGCGGGCACAGCGGTCGCCGTCACGATTCCTGGATTGTTAACGCGTACGTCCGCTTTCCTGACGCTACTGAATGGCGTGTCTACGCTCTTCGAGTAGGCTGATATGGCACCTAAGTTACCGATACCCCGAATCACGTTGGAGCTGGAGGTCGCGATGGTTGGCAACGCGACCGTGGCTGCGGACAGAGGAAGTGCCGCCGCCGGCTGCACCGCGACCGCAGCAGGCGCAGTCGCTGCGAGCAAACCCCCGCCGATCACACCGGCTTGCGCGATCGCCAACAAGCAGCCACAGATCACCAAAAACTGAAACGGAAAACTCTTGATCAGCGCTTTTACACGACGGCGACCGGTATACGGAGACGAGCATCGTGTAAAAATGCTCTTCCCGGGAAACCGTGTGAACGAAAGCATCTCGACTTTTTCCACAAATTTCTTCTGTCAATATTATTTTCGTTTTGTATCGTGCCGATGCGCGAACGCGTCGAACGATCTCTTTCTACTTACCCTAAACATGATGAGAAGTTGGTTGCTTGGATTTTCTCTGTACCGTGCAGAAGCAAAACGTAGAACGAATTGAATGCTCATGGTAAATCCGACAGACTATTTATACGCGAGAGCTAGTAAACCTATCCATCTGCGAGACTTGAAATATTTTTTCGAGTCCGAAAACAGGGTATCGAGTATCCCCTCTGACCAAAGGCAAGCACATAGACGCGTAAGTTCGTAACGATACTGTCGAGCCGATATTACGTTACGTTCGTCGAGTTGAAATGCATTCGATACCGAATTGCTAAATTCGCACAATTTTATCATGCCGTTTTGTCCTCGAGAATGTCGTTCCTTTGTTCTCTAGTAACGACGAAACTCGATCGGATGTGGCCGTTTCCAAAGGAACGATCCTTCGAAATACTTTGTACTACAATATACACGATAATGTCGAATTGTCGGAAAGGAAGACATCATCGATCGTATACTCTAGCGAGGACAAGCGTATCGCACCGATATATTAGGGTTGCCCATAAGTTCTTTCCGCGGCGCGCTATGAATAACTCTAACCGGCTTATCTCTTGACTGTTTAGGGTATCGGTTTCAGTGATCTCAGAGCTCTTTTAGAGTATGTTTCGTTGCTGACAAAGTTCCTTATTAAATTTTTTCTGCGCCGTTCGATATGGATAGCCAAAAGAAGCATTTGCGGCATGTTACGCTTTATTGCTTTAAAAAAAGTGATATGGCAAAGGACACTGCAAACGAGATTTGTACCGTTTACGGTGACGGTTCTACGACTATTAGGACAGTCCGCAATTGGTTTAAGAGATTTAGAGCTGGCAATTTTGATTTCAAAGACGAATACCGCAGCGGCCGTCCAACAACGACGGATGCGGACCTTGTCAAAGATATGCTCGCTGAAAATCCGTGATACAGTGTGTGCGAGGTAGCGGATGCCACTGACATACCCAGGACAACGGTACATAAGCATTTAATCAAGATGAGATACGT